AGCCCTTTCTTGCTTCATGTCTCAGGTCAAAGGTCTCCTGCCCCTCTCACCAATAAGAAAGAATGAAAGCCTTCCTTGGGGCTGTGCTCTCCTACGGTGGCCTACATCACTCTCTTTATGTGACTATGTTTGTCTCTCTCACCAAATGAATTCTGCCAAAGCAAACACTATCTCATTCAATACTGTATTCTTAGCATGGTGCATATACAGCTAGGGGGAATCAGCACAAATTAATAGAATAAATATATTTTACAGATGCGGAAACTAAAGTTCAGAAATAGAATATAACATGTCCAATATCATACAGCTAATAAATAAGCAGCACCTGATCTTAGAAAGCTTCACAGAGCTGTCTTCAAGTCCACTATGCCACATTCTACAGTTGGACAGGCTGAAGGAGAGAAAGATCTTGATGTCTGTCTGGAGCTTCAGAGTCAACCTGCCCAAAAGTCCCTCCTTGAACAAACAGACAAAAATCTGGACCCTGTCGAGTGTTCTTTTTTTCTAAAAATGGCATTCCCAGTTGCTCAAGGAAAAACTCTCTTGACTCCTCTCTATTCTCACATCTACTCAATCAACAATCTTATCAGTTATCATCTTCAAGTTGAGCATCTCTCCAATCTCTTTCCTTCTCTCCAAGCCATCTGCCACCACCCTAGACCCAAGCCACCATCATCCCTCATGCAGACTACAAGAATGACTTGCTACTTGTCATCCACACATTCACTTTGGCCAGTCCTTTCCTCCAATCTCTTCTTCACATAACAGCTAAGGTGATGTTTTCCATTATCATTCTACATATATAATTCATTTAGCTAACTAAAGCCCTTTATTAGGTTCCTATTACTGTTAGAATAAAGACCAAAATTCACATAAGGGTCAGAAAACTCCACACTCTGCCCACCTCTCCAGCCTGCTCTGGTCTCACTCCCCTTTGCTCTGCTTCCATATACTGACTGACGTCCTTTCAAACCCTCATATTCACTCCTCTGTCTTTTGTACTTTGAACATGCAGTTTCCCTTGTCAGAAGCCTTCTTTGTGTCCCTGTAAGCACCTCTCATTGACAACCTAAGTTACTTTCACTCACTCTTCAAGTTTCCTGAAGTGTTGTCTCCTATAGGAATCCTTCTCTGATTCCCCTAGACAGGGTGAAAGCACCAGTGAGGCACTCCTATTCGACCTTATAGCACATCTCCTTTTTGTCAGTAACTTCATCACACTGTGATTACTTGTCCAATGATTATCTCCCTGGTCGAATAGAAACGCCATGAGGGCAGGGGAAACCTCTCTTCCCACTGATATATCCTCAGTCCTGAAAACACAGTAGTTGCTCAATTAATATTTGCTGTCAGAATGATGAACTGGGACCAAATGGTAGCAGGCTATGATGATATGAGGCTAAGTAAGCCAAGAGGCAAGGATCGTTATCTATTTGCAAATATGTAAACAGAGGCAGAAAGAAATGCGTAGTTATTCAAGGTCACAGAGACAGTGATGGCGCTAAATCTAACCCACCAGTCAGCTCATTTGTCCCTTTAAAACATTACAAAGCATCAGTAGCATCAGGGGGAGGATCTTAAAATAAGAAAATTAGTAATGAGGGGAGCCTAGGAAGCTCAGTTGGTTGAGCATCTGACTTTGGCTCAGGTGATCTCGTGGTTTGTGAGTTCAAGCCCCAAGTCGGGCCCTGTGCCAACAGCTCAGAGCCTGGAAGCTGCTTCAGATTCTGTGATTCCCTCTCTCTGTCCCTCTCCTGCTCATGTTCTCTCTCTTTCAAAGAATAAACATTAAAAAAAAATTTTTTTAAGAAAATGAGTAATGAGGGGCGCCTGGGTGGCGCAGTCGGTTAAGCGTCCGACTTCAGCCAGGTCACGATCTCGCGGTCCGGGAGTTCGAGCCCCGCGTCGGGCTCTGGGCTGATGGCTCAGGGCCTGGAGCCTGTTTCTGATTCTGTGTCTCCCTCTCTCTCTCTGCCCCTCCCCCATTCATGCTCTGTCTCTCTCTGTCCCCAAAATAAATAAAAACGTTGAAAAAATTAAAAAAAAAAAAAAAAGAAAATGAGTAATGAGAAGGTGGTGAGAGACATGTCTAGAAGACCTTCTGAATCTGCCTGTCACACTGGTTGCCTCCATACTACCAACAGTCAGACTCAATGCCTAGAAAAGCACTAATGTTAAACAAACACACATAACCACCACCACTCCCTTCTCCTTAAGGGGCGATATAAAATAACAAATGTTTTCATCCAAAAGAAGACACCACAGGAGGGAACACTGTTGCCACTCCAATTGTCTTTAAAAAAAAAAAAAAAAAAAAAGGGCAGTTTGGCCACCTGGATTGCTCCTCAGCGGTCAACAGAGAAGATGGCCTTCCCACCACTCACTGGAGCAGGAATCAGAAAAAAAAAAAAAAAAAGTATTAAATGACGCAGAAGCCATTTGAAGTCTTCTTATCCTTGGGAATTAAGAGAACATTTCATGTAAAGCAATTTTTTTTAAGTTTTTATTTATTTAAGTAATCTCTACACCCAATGTGGGGCTCAAACCATGACCCCAAGGTAAAGAGTCTCTTGCTCTTCCGACTGAGCCAGCCAGGTGCCCCTCAGGTAAAGCATTTAAAAACCTTGCTAACACACTGGCAGTTCTTAATACAGGTGCCAAGGGAAAGAACAGTGACATGCGCTCAGTGGCAACATGCACTGTCCACAAGCTGCTGAGGCCAAATTATGTCTGTCACAGAAGCCACAAAGGCCACAAGGTCAGGCTCATTGCTGCTCATCTTGCTTGGCACCCACTGAAAGAAAGAGAAAAGCCCAAGAGGACTCTGTGGAATAAATACTCACCAAGTCTACATCCACCATTGAGTTTCTGAGTGAGGTAAAGAAGGGGTGAGGAGGGTGTTCAGAGATTGGAAAAAGGCTTAGACGTGATATATTGGTAATAAGAGGAAAAGTTTGACATGGGGAGGAAAAATGGGAATTGTAAATGGAGAAACAGGGAAAGAAACTGAAAGAACTTCAAGAGACACAGAGGGGCGGGGCAAGGAAGTTAACAGGCGAAAAGGGTAGGCTGGCCAGGAGAATACACAGTAAGCACCAGAGAAACGTAGAGAGAGGCAAAGCCAGGCAGTCTTTTCCCAAATCCCAAAGCTGCTAATTGCATCCCAATAAATCACTCTACTACAAAGCCCATATAATAGACTGTCCTTTGCATTCAGTAACAAGCAGCATTTAACGAAGCATCACCCAGCTGCAACTTTGGAGACCTAAGGTCTGAATCAAAAATGAACAAAATTTGTTCAGCAGCAGAAGACAACCAGTAATGACTTTCACAATGCCTGACCTGGCTAAAAAAAGGTTTGGCAGTTTGGAGTAAGCATAAAATGCTCTGGCATTTCTCCTTCTTGTGACATTCCAGGAGGGGGTGTGGTTGACCCCAAGTCCATTCATTTCCAAGGTTGTAGATCTCTCAGCTAAGACTGGTCCCATCTGTTCTGGAGTCAGCCAGCTGTGTATCTCCAAGTAACATTTATTGCACTAATCATCCTAATAACGCTTACAAGAAAAAAGCCAAAATCATACAAGCCAGAATGCTTACTGTCCTATTAAGTGCATCAGTTGGCTTAAAAACAAAATCCAAAAAACAAAAAAAACACTACTATGCTCCTGAGTTTCCCTAGCCAGGATCGCTCTTTCTTTCAGAAGGTATCTTGTGAGTACCTTTCAGTAATGGTAAATGAAGGTTAGCAGTGCTTCTAACTTTCCCTTTCCCCAATGCGTTAAAATGAACCAGGGTTTCCCTAATGATCCCTTCTCCAAACCATTAGTTGTGACTGGTGACTGTGCCACACGAAAAGGCAGCTCATTATGGTACCATTGTCAGTGGCAAGGAGCCTACTGCAACATAATTTAAAACACTCACACGAGCACAAATCTGTCGGCTCCACTTCCAAACAATCCTGCAGTAGGGAGAAGAAAAACACTTAACAAAAATGCTGCTTCCAGCAGCCTAAGAGAAGATTCCTTAGACACGTGAAATGTTTCTGACTGGCAGGGAGTGCACCATTAAAGGACACTGTCACCTCAAATCATCAGAAAAGGCGAGACAAACGACATAGGCACACACACATAAAATAGAGCCCCACAAAACTTAACCTACTCAGGAGAAGCACGCTCATCTTAAAAATAGTGTGTGCTTGCTCGAGCGACATAGAAATGTTCTAAAGTAGTGCAACCACAGTAAATCACTGTCTCCATTTCTCCCCACGCATCACCCCTTCCCACTCAAAACCTCAGCACTCGGGGCCGTCTGTGACAGGACTGCAGTCCGCCACCTCTGCCTTCTTCTGATTTTCCAAGAGCACTTCCCAACATCCTCCCCAGCCCAGCCCCCTCTTCCACCCTCAAAAAGGTTGAGGGGAGTTGCGACTAGGGAATTGGCAGGAATCGGTCCTCCGGCGGGGGAAGGTTGCTAGAGTTGTTCTTTGCAGTGACCCAAATTGCAGAGCTTTTCGCTTAGCAGCACTTGCGAGCACCTCTCCAGCCCTCCCGCCCCCATCTTCCCAAAAGAAAGCCTTGAGAATTAAGCGGGAGGAATAACTTGGTAGAACCATTTGAATAAATCACTTCAACTCACCTGGTTTGGGATATTTCTCCCCACCCCAGGCATAAACAAAAATGATGTGAGAATGAGTCACGCAGGCAAGGGAACGTGTTGCGATGTCCTAAGTCCAAGGGCTGGAGTGAGTCCCTGCCCTGGTGCTGCTGCTACTCTTAGCTCAGCTGGAGCAAGCGGCAATCGCAAGCCCAGCAGCAGCAGGGGGGTGGATAGACCGTAGCACAATGAATGCAGTGGGGTTTTTGCAATGACATCATCCCTCTGTCCAAAAGGCCCCAATAGCCATGCTCAGGAGCGGTGCATTCTGGGAATCGTAGTCTTCTAAAGGCCTAGCAGGACACCGAGGCTATCGCGGGAACTACAATGCCCAAAATGCGCCAAGGTCGGACGTGCCTGGAGTGGGCGAAACGAGCGAAGGGGACTCGGCCGCCATGTTAGGAGTGCTGGGACGATTCTGCGGATCCCGGCTGAGGTTTTAGGGAGCTTGCGAGCCGAGTGGTGGTGCAGTGGGGACGGTGAGGTGGAGGATAAACCGGTTGGAGAGCCTAAGGCCCGAAGCTGGGGACCTGGGGTGGAGGCGGCATCTGGGGACAGATTGTAGGGCGGGTCCGGCTGGAGGCAGAATCAAGAGGCCGACTGGGCCTCGGCCTTACGGTCCAGCGGGTTGTATATAGGCCCCCTACACCTCTTGCTCCTTTTTCTTATTAAGAGATTGAGGGAGTGGGTTTACTTCTGAGCTCAGAGCATCATTTCGGCCCGCTAACAGGACACTCGGAGCGGTTAGTGTCTTTGTTGGGCTGAGGGGACGCCGGACGGTTACCCGTTTCACTTCGGAGGAGCCCGCTTCTACCCACGGAGTTGGGTTATTTCTCCCAATTTTATTTTTATCTTTTTGTCATTGATACTCCAACCTTCTTAACCCTCCGCAAAGTTTCGGACCCTCTTTGCTTTTTCATAAAGGAATGATTTGCAGAAGGGTCCAAAGAAATCGATGTCGAAAAATCGATGTTGGCTCTAGTAGCCAAAGCTGGAAAGGGACGGTGCTTTGGCGCCGCAATTAAGAAAAGACTAAGAGAGGTCTAAAGGAGTAACACCCGGTTTAAAATGCCCAGGATATTTTTGATGACAGGCCCATTGACGGCTGGCTATCGGTTTCGGAGTAACGTGGGTTCTTGAATAAACTAGAGTGTATGCTAAAATACTGAGAAGACAGGGTGTTCATTAGCATTAATCAACTTATTTTAAAAATACATTTAGTGTTTCACCTTTGGTATTCCATATATACTATTACTTTAAGAACTAATTTTTTAAAAATGAAACGAAAGTCACTGGTCTTAAGTTATCTTGCTCAGTATCTCAAATGAACTGTATTTTTTCCTAATTGTGTTACTGAAACAATGCTGTGTATTCTTTTTCAGAGTCTGTCTACACTGTGAAAGATGGAAAATTTCTTTTCCTCCTGAGGGTGTCTGAAGGGTTAAAAATGCAATAATACTTTATGCTGTTTTTCTCCCTTTTGCACAATTATTCTGAAAACAAAACTTGTTACTTTGGGTCAGTAAGGGTATGCATTTCACCTCTCTGTTAGTAATACTACAGGTGATGAATGTATTCTATCAGGAAAGGCTAAGCAGAGTGATTAGAAATGATAAAAACATGGTAGAAATAGTCTTTCAGATGTATGCAGCTGACAACTTCAAAAACATAGAAGAATGGTCTGCCATGTTTCTGAGAACAAGTCACAAGATGAAAGGCTTTATTTCATTTTTAACAAAAGTAATATGTGTTGGTTTCATTTATCCATACAATACAATGGGAAAGACTCATACAAATATTTCTGTTCAGAAATACTGTCTTTGCAAGTAATGGTAAGTATAGGAAAGGGAGCAAAATGTTTGCTGATTTCTTTCTGACCTTCAGTACAACTGTAGAAGTGTTTCACTTTTTTTTTTTTAAATGTTTACTTATTTTTGAGAGAGAGAATATGAGCAGGGGAGGGGCAGAGAGAATGGGAGACAGGATCGAAAGCACTGACAGCAGAGAGCCCTGCCGCCTAACCGACTGAGTCAGGTGCCCTTAAGTGTTTTACATTTAACAGAGAAAATTGGACAGGTTTGCATTTAGGCTTAGTTTCAAACTCTTAAATTATTTTTAGGGGTTGGTGGTTCACTGGTGTGTCTTATTTTACAAACCTTTAGTGAATCTTGTTCGTTGTAGAAGATATTTCTTTATATAAGCAATAACATCCTCAATCTGAGTTACTATGGAAGACAAATTTGCAGGGGCAGGGGGCAGATTGCTTACAAATCTTGTATGTGAGAAACTAGACCTATATGATGCAGTGATTTCTATAGTGTATAATTTGTCATATGTTTCGGTAGTTTGAAGTTTTCCAGGCTTACATCCAGTGGACATCTAACCATAAAGAAATGAAACATCTATTTAATATCTTTAAAAAGACTCTGATTTAACCTTTAACTTTTAGGGGGGAAAAGTCTGCATCCTTCTTTAGAAATTTTATTTACAAAGTTAATATTTGAGGAATTGGACACCAGCTTCTGAAAGATTAGCCTCAGTGATCCAGAGAAAGCCCTGGGTTAGGTGAACGTTGAAAAGTGGGATTAGGAATGCTTGAAGTGGATAAAGCAACTTAAGTTCTTTTCATCTCAGAAAAGAATTAGGATATTGATTTGTGTTATAATTATAGGTAGCTTATTAAAGAGTATGGAGTCATTTGCTCTTATGGCAGGGTTTTTTTTCAACAGCTTCAAGTGTCAGGATCACATAGAGAACTCTAAAAATATATAGCTGAGAACTCTAAAATAAAATAAAAATATATAGAGAACTCTAAAAATATAAAATAAAACAGATAGTTGTCCACTCATCTGTTGAATTGTTGAATTATTCTGCTAGGTTGGAACCCATTGTGTATTTTTAAAACTATGAGTGAGTGGACAGTGGTAGGGTAGAGTAGTTCTCTACATCCCATATTTGTGTTTATTGTGGTGCATTACACTAGTAATAATAAAAGTTTTGGCAAAGATTACAGGCTTGTTAGTAATTATACCCATAAGTGAATTCTGAAAATGTGTAGATGAGGAAATGATCTGGGCATCAGTCTATACATTGGTGAGGGGAGTGGGTTGGGGGAGATTTAGTTTAGCCTTATGAGTACCATGATATCTTGAATTATCTGGATATTTCTTAGAGTTAGAGTTGAGTGTAATACTAAGAAAGTAAGGATAAGAGACACTTCTTGAATAAGAGCTCATGCTATCACAAGGTTATGGTAAAGCTATTCAGATTTTTTTTTTTTTTAGAGAGCAGGAGTCTGGAAAAAGGGCAGAGAGAGAATCCCAAGCAGGCTCCATGCTGAGCATGGAACCCAATGTGGGGCTTGTTCCCACAACCCTAGGATCATGACTGGAGCTAAAATCAAGTCAGGTACTCAACCTGTTGAGCCACCCAGGTGTCCCAAGCTATTCAAATATTTAAAAGAAGTATTTTTAAAAAAGGCAACAAGATACTAGAATTTTTTGAAAATAACTTTTCAATAACTCCTTTCCTTGCTGTGAATCCTAAGTTTTTAAAATTGGTGATGTCAGGGTGCCTGAGTGGCACAATCAGTTGAGTATCTGACTCGGTTTCAGCCTAGGTCATGATCTCACAGGTTCATGAGTTTGAGCCCTGTGTTGGGCTTTGTGGTGGAAGCGTGGAGCCTGCTTGGGACTCTGACTCTCTCTCTCTCTCTCTCTCTCTCTCTCTCTCTCTCTCTCTCTGTCCATCCTGTGCTCATGCTCTCTCTGTTTCAAAAATAAATAAACTTAAAAATAAATAAAGATGTTATCTTATTTAGAGAGACAAGTCCTAAAGGTGCAGTGACAAGAGAATTGGAAAGCAGGGGGCTAAGATTCCAGGAGCCCAAGCATCAGTCCCCTGGCTCAAGCCTCTTTTATTTTTGCAAATTGATGACAGCAAGCACATACAACATAGTATTTGGCATCTTGACAGGTCACGCACCTGCAGTGTATTACATACTGGGTCATGGCACCAGACCATGGGTCATGGGTCTGGCACCAGACAAAACATTCTTATCCCCAGGCCTCACGCCTGTATGATGTCCTTCTGGAGAGAACGAGCAGTCCCAGCAGCTTTCCGTCCTGAGAATGAAACTGCTTTTGGTTTCTTGCTGTTCTGTCCCTTTCCTTCAAGACATTCTTCCAGTGCCTCCAGCTTCTTATTCTCCAACAATATTAGTATTCTTGGTATTTAGGTGAATGGTATACAATAGAGTATCTTTTTTTTTTGTTTGTAAGTTCCAAATTCTTTGATTCATTACTGAATTTGTCTGGGGTGTTTGCATTCAAAATCCTGTAACATTGTCATCTGTGTCTGCTAAGGAATGAATACAACATTCAAGAGGACAAGCATTTCAAATTATGAAAGCAGTCCTAGAATTCAGGCACTTAATGGGTCCATCTTTAGTTGAGGGAAGTCCTATTGGATATGGAATGTGAAGACTGACTTCAGTATTTTGAGGAATATTGGCTTCCATTCCTGCTGCTTCAGTGTGAAATCTACCTTGAATAGCTTGCTCAGTATCACAGAAATTAGTAACATTCTAAGCCTCATTGATAATAGCAGCCTCTAGGGATGTTGATGAAGATTAAACAAAAATAATTGTGTAAAACATTTAGGAAAGGATTTTGGAATATGTAAATTTGCTGTGGATCTTTTTTTTTTTTTTTTTTTAATTTTTAACAGTTGGGCAAATGGTAATTTTTCTATTGGATGCTTTTAAAAATTAGCCACAGAGTAGTTTAGAGTCATAAGGACAGAGGTTACCTTAGATGTAGTCTTCCAACAATTTGGTCAAATTTACATGACCAAGTTCCTAGCAAAATAGTTCCATTTCTTCCTTTGATACAGTGATATGGGGCAACAATCTTTTTCAGCCCATACTGCATAAAAGAAGTGTTTTATATCTTAAAAAGTTCTAAAATAATACTTTTCTATGCCAACCTATAAAATTTGAGAGAACAACTATCTCTTCTATCTTTATCTCTTTTCCAAAATAGAAATAATTTTCTTAACCTTTCTCAGAAATGAAATGCCAGCAACCCAAAGGTGATATAAACCCAACAAGTACATTAAAAGTTATTCTAACCTGATCACAGAGTTGAGACAAGTAAACTTAAAGGGGAAAAAACATTTTATGAAAACATCTTTACAGACCTCACCTTAGATTAAGTTAGATGTTTTCTAGTGTACATTTCTATGAGTGAACACAGCATGTGCCATACAGAGTTTAGCAGTTGGACTTTCTCTAGGGAAGATCTTAACACATTCTGGAAACTTTAATATTTCATATTTTAAATACTACTTTGAGTTAATATTCAGGAAACTAAAATGTATGTTTTCTAGTCTTAGATGACGCATGGTGTTTGAAACAAATTGGCATAATTTTAGCTGCTGGAGTTTATAGGCCACTGAAGGTAAATGCAGTAAATATCCCAAGGTCAAGATTTAAAATCCAAACGTCCATAGTTCATGATTAACCAGAAAAGTGAGCCCTATTTATCTGGTGATTTGATTTCTCAGTTTTTAATAGGTTTGGATAATTTTAACACTAGAAAATATTTCTTTGCAGAAGTATATGAAGATGAATTTAATCAAACATAAATGTTTATGAATATAAAGCCTTTTAAGGAAACTGCAGAAATATGCAGTTGTAAGCAATTATGCAAGTATGCACATACTTAAAATTCTTAACTTGATACATAGACATTGAGGGTGCTATATGGATTTGAACTTGCTGTGAAGGTCAATCCTCAGTCATATCATAAACCCTTTTAGGAAGTGTTCATCAGTTACCCTCTTAACACCTAACTCATGAGTTGATGAATTAAACACATAGATGTTTATCAAATTGAATAGCTTTTTAAGTTTTTAAACATGGTTAAGTAAAGCAGTTGCAGAAGTGGTCATATAAGAGTAAACTGCAAATAACACTGACATACTAGAGCATTTACTTTACAATCGACATATTGATACTAAACAGCAACTTATATAAGTATAGTAATAAATGACCTTTACCACTCTCGTCCTATTTCAGTGAAATACTTTACTAGCAATAGTGTGGTACATTTCCTTTGTCTCAGTTATGAATGTGGTGAAAGTTAAGTGTTACTTTTGGTGATGAACTTTACATTTATTACCTTCTTTAGCTTTTGACTGTCTCAGTGCAAGCATCTCCATTTCAATGCCACTTTGTTTACTTTGTGTATTTAATGCTGGGTTTTATGCCTGTTTTGGGTTTCAGTCCCATGACCCATTTTCAGTATTCATTTTTGTGTGTCTTTTCAAAATTGTTTGCTTCTCTGTTTCCTGCTTGTCTTGAGATAATTTATGAGCAATTTTTGTTGCTTTTCATGTTACTGTGTATTTGCTTGAGATGGGTTGCTGGATTTTCTCATTTTGCAGATAAACTCTGCTCTTTCACATTCCTGGGACCTGTTTGGCATTTGTTGGAGTACTGGGTTGCTAATAATGGAAAAGCTGAAGAATCAAGTACTGAGAAGAAGCCAGAATTGAGGGGTTTGGGGAGTGAATGAATGGGAGTGGGGTAAGAAGTAGGTACTTAATGTAGATAATTTGTTTTATGAAGTTTGTCTCTGAAAGAGGCAAGAAATAATAGGATATAAAAAGAGGGCATGTGGGATTGAAAGAGGTTTATATTTAAATCTTCCTACTTAGAGGCCAAAATCACACTACTTCAGGGCACTCTGATCATTTCTCAAAGCAATCAGGATTTAGGATTCTACCCTGCTCTGAATGGGGCCAGGAGAGGAGGGGAAGAGCTCTGAAGTACTTTTGTAATTTTTTTCTACATTATACTCCATACTTTCCATTTGATTTGATTATTTTTCCTTTCCAGTTCTTTCAAGGGTTTTCATGGCTACCATTTGACCAAACTTCTGCTTGAAGAATAGTGCATTTTTATGACAATTCCAAAAAAGAGTAGCAATGACCAAGAGCCTAGGCTTCTTTCGAGAACTTATTGGTCCTAAAAAGGTGGTGTTTGCCCTTTATACCTATATCATTAATACTTACCAAGCAAACCTGACTGAGATCCTCACAATCACTGTTAGAGAAAACAGTGCTCATTTGAACCAGGAGATTAAACTTGAACAAAATTTGTCCTTGTCTAGCTGTGGTTTTCAAGATACATAACCTAGAGGAGGAGAAATCTGAAATAGATTCTTTAAGTTATTTACATAAGGAAGGTAGGATTGTGGAAATAGAGAAAAATGCACGAGAGAAAAGCATCTAACATCTTAGGGCAACAAAGCCCTCAACAAAAAGTCCGTTTCTGGCAGTTATGAACTAAATTCTCCATTGCTTGAACTCACTATCATTACCCAATAATTTAAGTGAGCGGCTGCTTCCCTTCAGAGGTTTAACTACCAGAATAAATAGGTGTCAGCAAGAGAACAGCTAAGACAGGTAAGGATTCTGTATAATCAAAAATCTCAAAAGAAGTTGGTTATTACTAGATCCTGACACTCTGTATGTCCAAATATGTTTCATTTCCTTTGATGAAATAGGTACCAGAAGAAATAACTGGAAGTATTTCTGAGAAAAGACTTGTGGCTACCAATTGAATTGCTGTTACCAAGTTACATTTTGAACACCAAGGCATTGTGCAAAGCCCCATACATCCAACATGACTCCCAAGTTAGCTAACACTTGACTTTGTGTCCAGGCTAATACCTGTTTCTGGCAAATGTAAGGCTGTCCAGCGCTCTTACCACATCAACTGTCTGGAAGGAGGAAAAAACATGAAAATAAATGTTAACTATGTAATTGTTTATTGTCATGGGCCCAAAGTTAGACCCAGATTTGGAAACCTATCAAATACTCCTGCTTACTACTGTTAATGTGGGTAATTATCTTAATTGTTAAGTATTAATACTTACCTGCTCAGTAGTCTAAGATAAGAAATAGACTTCATGCAGGTTCATTTGTGTGCCTGAGCCCATTCTGGTTTTCAGTAGAAACTGGAAAGTTATTTATGGCCCATTGTAACTTAAGATAACCCTAAATTTCTGGAATATATCTTGGTGTTGTATAGAATTCACTTCAAGTTCACTTAATAGTTCACAGGAAACTGAAAAATAATTTTTCTTATAGTACTGGTGAGAACATCCTGTTAAAATACTTGTGAACTAGTTGAGGTCAAAATAAGAACTACAGCCTACTTATCACGTATTTGCCAATAGTATTATAAATTATGATGGATAAATCCTTTTAAGATCACAACTTGATTGTGGAAATTTGCTTTAGTAAAAAGTAAGGACTTCAACAAATCCTAAGTTTGAATCTCAATACTTAAGTGACTGCGCTTATTCATCATTCTGAGACTTTCAATCTTACAAAAATAACAGTTGCTGAATTCATTGAGTTTTCCTAAGAAGGAAATAAATGAAAATGATTAATATTTAATA